GTAACCCTCCGACAAACCGGTTTTTAAATTAGCATTCGGTTTTATTTTATTTTCTATCAAATTTCGAAATTACGTGTAATTTCAGGTTTTTCTTTTCGGCAAAATATTTATCCGATGATTCGAATTAAATTCGGTTTAAGCCAATCCGGTTTAGCATAAATCGGTTTTTTTCATAATCGTATTTAAACAGTTCGGGTTTTAAATTTTACAACCGATTCCGACCTCTAGTTCTAATAAAGAAAATTTAATTGTAAATGATATACTGATGACATAGCTTTAAATCTATGTGGAAATATTTTCTAATTTATTGTATTAATTTATCTAAAATTATAAATAAATTTTCATAGTAAAATTCGTTATTTGTATGTTTAAACTGCAAAGATCTCTAAAATTCACATATTAATATAAAATATGGCTACATAGGTTTAAAATTATGCTATTTTATTATCATTTGCAAGTTGTATAATTAAATTTGCTTTGCTAGAATGAGAGAACATTTTAAAAGTTGAATTTTCTTATGCTCTATAACGATTTCCAAAATCATGTGATAAACTCTGAGCATTTGCTTCGAAATATAAGTCTTATTTAAAGTTAAATAATTGATTTTTTTTAATAGATTTTTTAATATAATTGAAATAATTCTTATAAAACCTTTAATATCAGCTATAACGTCCCAAAGATCTATCTGGAGATTGTTAAATTTCCTATTATAAAATCCTAACAATTTGATTTTATTATATAAATGAACTATGTAAATCATTTGGAAACACCGATAAGTTATACCAGAAATTTTCATCGAGAGGTACATTAATATAACCAATGTGTTCAGAAAGATTATAATAAGATTATAAGAGATGGAATTTAGGATACTGGATAGAGTCTTCTTTTTATCACCCCAACCTTTTTATACGAATGTAAATCAAATTATTAATTCTTTGCAACACAATAAAATTTGACAATCTCAAAAAAATTTTTTATGCTAATAAAAGTGAGCGGTACAGTCATAATTCTAGATACTAGATAAAAAAAAAAATTTATAATTTTTAATAATATTACAATTTTTCTTTTACGGTATGTAAACAATAAAATATTACTAATTAAATCTACTATTCTGTTTATATTTTACTGATTTCTTTTATCAATAACAAATAATATTGAATCATCACTATTACGCAATTATTGATAATTCAATATTCTTTGTCAAGTATAAATAAGTCTAGTTTTCACATTTTTGAGTGAGATAATATCAACGACAAAATATCGTAGAGCACAAGAAATTCAAAAAACATATGAGGTTTTATCTGAAATATTAAGGAGATAGAATAACCAAGAAAAGATAACAAGTATTAGAACATCTGGTGGTAACAGATTATATTCTGTAGCAGATGTAAAGAAAATATTTGGAAACCAGGAATGAATAAATAAAAAGAAAAAGATCTGTTATATAAGGATCAGCTCAAAGAAGCAAAAAGAAGATCTCAATAGACAGTATGAGTATCTCAAATAGAAATGTCTAGAATATGAGCATATTAAGGATATTGGGTTCTGTCTTAATTGGAAATGTAGAGGTTTTATATCCATTTTGGAATAATCATACTAAGGAGATATCGAGGAGGTTGTGATTACTTGCAAGAACTAGCTTTGCTGATTTGCTTATAAACTTGTCAAATGGATCTTTGGTAAGAATAATACAAAGATCATGGTACTTAGTTCAGATATCAATATTAATGACACTGAATCTGGTAAGCTTGCTGAGAATCTATTATCAATCATTACTATCTTCACTACAAAGCACAATAAACTCAGATTAGCTGAGAACTGAAAATGATGAAGAGAAATTGAAAATATAAAAGATACAGATGTACTCAACATCTGAAGAAAGAGAAAGTTAAAAAGGTAAATGAGGACCATGAGGTGGATGTATAATTGTGTGTTAAATATAATTCAAGATGATGATATAGTAAATTAACAGATCATACATAAACAATGTTTGAATGATGAATATTTCAAATGTAACCTGGAAGTATCCTGGGTTCTTGACACTCCAAGAAAGATAAAATCATACATTATCAGACAATTGATGAGTGCATACAAAACATGTAAGAAAATACATAGTAATAATTTTCAAATGAAGTACAAATCAAAGAAGGATCGATTACAAACAATCTCGATACTTGCAAGAGATTAGAAAAGGAACAGGGGTGAATACGCATTTTTGAAAACTATTATCACATCAGAAATACCACCACCAAAAATAAATAGTACAGTGAACATTACCATGGATTGTTTGGGTCATTTTTACCTGTGTGTTTCTGTTCCTCTGGATATTGTTAATAATCAAGATAATGTCTAGGAAAAGATGATCTCGCTCGATCCAAGTGTTTGTACGTTTATGACTGGTTATGATCCCGAGGGACGAATCGTCGAATGGGGTAACAGGGATCTTGATAAGATATTCAAATTGTCAAAGAAATATGATAAATTGCAGAGTAATAGGGATCTTGCTATGGAACGAAGGAATAAACGAAAGAGATTTCGATTAAGAAAAAAGATGTTTCGTATCATTCGACAAATCCGTAATTTGATTGATGAATGTCATCATCAGCTGTCACGATGGTTGTGCGAGAATTACGAATTCATTCTATTACCCAGATTTAAATCCTCGAACATGATACTTAGAAACAAGAGAAAGATCAGATCAAAAACCGCTCGAATGATGTTGACATGGTCACATTTCAGGCTCCGAATGTTCTTAGAACATAAGGCCAGGGAGTTTAGCATTTGCAAGATCATTGCGTGTACCGAGGAATACACGTCGAAAACATGTGGATATTGCGAGTTCGTGAAGAATGATCTTGGTGGATCAAAGACGTTCAGATGCGATTCGTGTGAAGTTGAAATGGATCGGGACGTGAATGGCGCCAGAAATATCTTGCTCAAATATTTGACGGAGGGTCAGGCTTCGGCCTGACTTTAGGACTTGAACCTACATAGGATACGATATGAATAGTAAAAACTAACTTTATTTATTCTTATTGGATTCAATTTCAAGGGTACTCTTGGAATTTAATGTTTTACGGTATATGTTACGACATGCAAAATACTTTTAAACATATTACATCTTGTATGAGCAAAGTTACGACGGTATTATATATACCTTTTTTAATAAAATAAGCGCGCACCGACGAAAATCATTATTCGTATTTTTGAATTAGAAGACCCGTTCAATATCATGCTCTACAATATTTGGCATCCTCAGTCATCATAAGTTAACTATTATCGCATATTACTTGAACTAAATAAAATAATTGCTATTATATCGAGTCTTGCTTAAAGGGAGAAAATTTTCCATCAAATCATGGAAATGAAAAATATATAGAGTAAATGATATAAAGTCAGATCTCTCTAAATAATAACTCCCAAATAAAATTGTAAGCTTTGCTTTAGTTCTAATATTATAAACTATGTTCTCTAAAGTACAATTCTTCATTAAATGTAAGTTAAAATTTACAATATTTCTCATCTTAAACGCAAACTTAATAAAAATTTTTTATTTTAATTTTAAAAGTTGTAGAATTAAATAATTAAATTTGATTGACCCCCATATGGTACAATAATCATAGAGTCTATTTGAATAATTTCCATCTACCTCTAAAATGGAAATAGATAGTAAAATTAAACCAACTATTATTCAACCAACCTTTTGACTTTACAATCTTTGGCAAGGATCAATTATATCATTATGAACGAGATTGAAAATTTATTTGGTAAGATGTATTCGCAATTTTCACAAATAGCAATAACAATCTATATACATATCACTTGATAAAATTCAAGAAAATAATAATTTTATCATTTTTAATGTAATATTGGACATAAGTCCCAAACTTTAACTTTACGATACAATGCAATTTTATTGTTAAATGATTTACTGTATGACTCGTGATCTAAAGGAAAAATTCCATAATTACAGCTCATCATGATCTTTAGGCTTATCTTCCTCATCAGACTTATCACTAGTTGTTTTATGTATATCCCCACTACAAACACCATCCTTTTCCTGTCCATCTGTTTCACATTTCTTTTCCTCCTTCTCTTCGATTTTCTTTTCATCCTTTTCAATTTTCTTTTCTTCTTTCTTCTCAATTTTCTCTTCTTCCTCTTTCTTTTCAATCTTTTCATTTTTCTTTTCATCGTCTTTCTCTCCCATATTAACTTCAAAGTTATACTCATAACTACTTCCACGTCCTTTCGCAATTTCATTTAAAAATCTTTCAATTCCTTCTTCATCAAATGGTCCAAGATGTGGTCGATAAACCTTTCTATTTGGATTAAGAATCATTAAATTTGGAAACATATCCGATAATTTAAAATCTTTTATCAATTTTTTGGATTCCTTTGATAACGCGTTAAACCAGAAAAATCGTAAACTAAGTTTTTTATCAATACTCTTTTGTTCATAAAGTTTTTTTTTCACATTACGAAGAATTTCAAGATTTGCTGAATGTTCTGCAACTGATTCTGGATACTCTGGTTCAACTATTAGGAATGAGAATACACAAAGACCAATTGGTTTGGAAAGACATAGTTCCTCTAATTGTGATTGTGTTTGAATTTCATTTATTTCTGGATCAACTATTTTGGTAAAAAAAAAAAAATTGTATTTAGTTTAGTATGGTGGTTTCGAATTTATAATAAATAATTTATTTACATGGTTCTGGCTCTGGTGCTTCTTTTTCTTTCAATTTTCTTTTAGGCAATGCATATTTATCCAAAAACTTGAATATCGTGTCATAACTGAATTTATCTGTGAAAACAAATTAATATATTTTGTTTTATGAAAAAATATTAAGTTATATATATAAATATACATACCTGTAAATTCTATGATATCTTTACTATCTTTTGGAATAATAAATAACTTGGGAAATTTATTAATTCCAAATTTCTCAACTATAGCTGATTCCTTTTCTTTAACTTCTCCAAGTATAAGTCTATTGTGAAATTCGCAAGAAAGAGCTTTGTATAAAGGTGTTGTTTGATCCTTATTAGTAAAAAGAATAACTTTCGAAATTGTGTCATTCTATATAAATAATAATAATAATAATCATATTTAGTTTGATGATTTTGAAAATTATGATGTTACTCGCGTAGTTAATACATACACTCTTGGCAAAAAATTCATCCAATGTCAAAGATTTCTTTTTACTAATATCGCTACTGATCGAATTTACAAAAGATGGTATCTCAGAGATTGCATAATCAACAATTGCTTGAGCAGTTCGTGCTCCATTATAATCTAAAAAAAAAAGAAAAAAAAAATTGTCAAATGAATTATAAAAAAAGAATTTATATAAGATTTTACTTTAAAAACAATCACCTTTAGGTTTCTTTGAAACCTTTCCAATGTTATCCTTGTCTTCAATTCCTTGACTTGGGAAAAGTTTGATCGTTGGAAAACCTGAAAATAAGAATAAAGAATTTCATAAATTTAAATGAAGATTGTTATAATAATGTTATATATAACTATTTTACCTTTAACATCATACGTGGAACAAATCCTTCTATTTGCTTCATCGTCACAGTCAACCGCTGTTAATTTAACAAGACCTTTAAGGTTCTCTGCTGCCTTTTTATATTCAGGGGCAAGACTATTTTGATGTAACATAACATTATTAATTTAATATCTTTTTACTTAAAATGAAACAAAATTATTAATTGAACAATATAAATATTTACTTTTTACAATGTCCACACCAAGGCGCGAAAAATTCTACAACTACAACTTTCTATTCCACATTAAAAAAAAGAAATCATTAAAATTATTAAATGTATGATTAAAATGATTTCAATGAAATTTTTTTTTTTATACCTCTGTCATTAAAACCTCATCGGCCCAATTTTTTTCTGAAAGAATAATGACGGGACCATTATTATCGTATAACGCCCAAGTCTCTGTAACAGTCCATAATGAAATACATAAAATTAACCAATGCAGCATTAAATGCCGCATTTTTTTTTTTTTTTTTTTTGTAAAAAAAAAAAAATTCACTTATAAAAAATAAAAAAAAAATAAAAAATCAAAGTAATTAAAAAGTAAGAGTGATGAAAAATTAACGAGAATTTTGGTTTAGGATGATAATATTTTAATCATATTTTAATCATGATAAAAGTCATCGTGGCGAGTATTAATTGGATAGTTAAACAAAATAACACGTATGAGGTGTTGGGCCGCTGCAATTTATGATTATCATATGGAGTAGGGACCTCAGTGCGATTGGTCCAAATTATGCCCCGATGCGAAATGATAATGTGGACCGGGAAATGTAAGATTCTACTCGAACCGCATGATGATCTACAAGATTCAGCCAATCAGCGTTAACCATAGTAAAATATTTTTTAATATAGTACAAACGTCGTTTTTTTCAGATCTTCCGGTGGACCTTTTCGTCTTGGTCATTTTGATGGATCTTTTCGTTGATTTTTCAGCATTTACTGGTGTCTTTCTTTTTGATGTTTACTAGAGTTCTTTTTGGATCTTTTTTTTGACGTTACTAAAGTTCTTTCTTGGTTTCTTTAGTAATCTGATATTTCTAAAGTTCTTCTTAGGTTTTTTTGGCATTTTTGGAGTTCTTTGATCTTTCTAGAGTTTTTTCTTAGTTCTTTCTGGTATTTTTGGAGCTCTTTCTCAGATCTTTTTTGGCATTGTTGGAGTTTTTTGATCTTTTTAGAGTTCTTTTTTGGTTTTTTTTAGTGTTTTTAAAGTTTTTACTTGGGATTTTTGAAGTTTCTTGGCTTTTTTAAAGTTTTTTCTTAGTTTTTTCTGGTATTATTAGAGTTCTTTGATCTTTTTCTTAGTTCTTTCTAGTGTTATTAGAGTTCTTTCTTGAGTCTTTTCTAGTATTGTTAGAGTTTATTGATCTCTCTAGAGCTCTTTCTTATTTTTAAAGTTCTTTCTTGAATTTTTTTAATATTTTTGAAGTGTTAAACAGAGATTCTACTCAAATTGCATAATAATTTACATGATTCAGCTAGTATATAATAAAATTTAGCTTTTAATTTTTTACTTTTTATTTATTTTATTTTATTTTTATTTTTATTTTTTTTTTTAAATCTATTATAGATTTTTTTTAATATAAAACAAATACAAATTTTATTTATTTATTTATTTTAAATAGGTATATATATAAAACATTTTAGAATAAAAGTTATAGTATTACTAATTAAAATATTTCTATATATATAATTATTTTATTAGTTAATATAATCAAAAAACAAGTTTTTTATTACTTAACTTTTGAGTACCTTGTAGTTTATAAGTATTTAGAGTCTCTTTACATTTATTAATTGCTTTTATGAATAGTTTTAATAAAGTATCAAAGTTTTTTATAAAATATTTATTATCTATTTCTTTTTTATACAATTGTAGCATCTTCTTAAATTTTTTTGCATAATTAGCATATTTTTCTTGTTTTTCCTTAATTATGTTTTTCTGTACTATTATTGAAATAGTTTACAAATTATCTGAGTGACTACTCTCTGTAAATAGATCTTTAGGAACAAAATTTGTTTCTAAAATAGCTGTGTTAGCAATTTCTCATAGATTATTTTGTTAAAAAATTATTAGAGGTTTATTATTGCTAAAGATAATTAATGGATAGTCATATCATCGTATTGTTTCATTAAATATAGATCAAAAATCTTTTTCTATTTTTGCAACCAAATATTTACAAGGCAAGTAATGACTATTTACATATACTAGGCAAGAATATACTCAATTATTAATATCTATATAATATCTTTCATCTATATCTGATATAATATCTGTAGATATAGCTTTATTCTAGTCTTTAAAGCTCTATTACCAAAATAGAAAATGCTAATTTATGTTATACTATGCTAATATGAAGTTGAAGTCTGGTACTAGTTATTCAACTAAAATACTAATGAAATAGTCAAGCCAAAGCCTATTATAGTTATACTTGTAATTGTATTTAAGTATATATTAATAGTTTTCTGTAATCATAGTAGTTCGAGCTAAAGATATTACAAGAGAATAGGAAGAATATACAAATATTAACTAATCCTTTCTATTATACTAATTTAGCTAAAGATACTTTATAATTCGAGACTTTAATGATTAAAATAGAAAAGATAAGTTTCTTTCACATAATGATAATAGATCTGATCAGAATCTTAGAAAATATTCTTATCTACTAGAATTAATGAATATATATTTGTATGCTATTTGATTATATCAATAATTTATATAAATACTTCTTCTGAATATAAACTTCTAATATTACTAGTTAGAATCTACAACAGATTAATAAAACTAAACTGTTGATGAGCTTCTAATACCTTTTCTTTCATGTAATTATTTGACTGTAGTTTTTTATCCTTCAAACATTTGCTAATAGTACTTTCTAAATGCCAATAATATAATTGAATATTTGTTTTTCACTAGGTTTTACTAATAGCTAAAATTTTACTAGTATCTTTATCTGTTAGTACAAATGAAAGTAACAATCTCTTTTGATAAAAACTAATAAAGAATTTTTGAATAGTTTGTATACGAGAAACTATTTCATTTTCTGAATAATAATTTACTATTTCAAGATTACTTAATACTAATAAATATAAATATACTGTTACCAGTGTTGGCCTTCTTTATTCAACACAAGTAACATAAGACACGGAAGAGAGGTTCTCAATGGTGTCCAAGTAGAATTTTACTTCACTGTAGCAGTTCGTTATAAAATTAATGAAAGAGCAAAGATTATACTTTATTTAGAATACAATATCAATAATACAAGACTATCTATTAGTTTTTGTGCTAAGAGAATTCTAATATTAAGGAGATTGCAGAGGTTAAAACCTAAGTTAGAGCAAAAGGAAAAGGGAGAGTTTATATAGCTTTTTACAATTAAGAATAAGAATGGTAAGAACAGTAAGAATAGTAAGAACGGTAAAAACAGTAAGAACAGTAAGAACAGTAAGAATAGTAAGAACAGTAAGAACAGTAAGAATAGTAAGAATAGTAAGAACGGTAAGAACAGTAACTATTTCTAAGTTGTTTCTAAGACAACTCTAAAACTATAAATTCTACAGTTATGAATTATAGCTCGTTTGAAAGATCTCTTCAAGCTAAATCTAATGGTAAAGTCTAAATCTATCTGTGACTACTAAATTACTTGTAAAAGCGATATAATAAATAAAGTACATTCAAGAAACTAACTATTTA